ATCGGGTTTATGAGTTGGGATTCATTAAATTAGTGCATTTTGTTTTCGGAGACATTGTGAGTTTTTTCTTAAGTTGCCGTAATTGGGGATTTTTTTTTTCCTGCTCCCTTCTCCCTCCTCTCCTTTCCCCTCTTTTCTAACCCCGTGATAAGAGGAAAGGGGAAGTGAGAACACCCACTGAGTTTTTTAGAAAGAGAAAGAGAAATGAGGTGTTTGCTCAGTTTTGCTTAGTTCCAGTTTACATTAGACACTGAAAAGTGATAATCCGCTTAAAAAAAGTCATTGATAAAATTATTGATTTAGTTTTATCAGTACAATCTTCACGCTGTCGCTAAGTCCAAGCTTCTGTCTATTTTTTTTACCGCCTTTCACATTTAAAGGCAAATCAAAAAGTTTTGCCCATACGCCGATTGTCCTTGCAGTCTTGGCAATCTTAGTTTTTTGAAAAATTTCAGCAGAAGCGAGGTTTGTCTCCAAATTTTTCATTTAAGGGGACTGTGTCTGTGTGTTTCAGACAGAATCTTCCGGCATGAGTTCCGAGCAGCTGGAATGGTTTGCTGCTTTGGATGAAGGTAACATTGAAAAGTTAAAAGAACTTTTATCTGGCAGTACTGCACTCCTGGAAGAAAGGGATGAAAATCAGGTAAATTCATTCCTCATTCCCCTCAGAATAGTGATAAATCTGTTTGATTTTCTTTCGGATAAGAACTGTTTCCTTGGAGCCCCGTGTGCTGTTGTTTTTTGCTTAATTAATCATTTTCCAAGTGAAAAGTGCCACATTTTTTTCAAATTCTTTGAAAAATTCGAAGCTTTCTTGATGGTTTTTTTCATTTTTTTGAAAAGTCAGGATGCTTCCTTTTCTCCATTGCCACTTCCTCTGAAGGAATGAATGTGGAGATATCCAGGGCATGATTTGTCGTGTTGGCGAGGAATTTGAAGTGATGCTCTCAGTATTGCTGAGATTCAGTCGGCGGCTTCCAAAAAAAAACAAGGTGGTCAGTTTGCTCATAATTTCAGTTAACTGCTTTGCATTGGGCTGCCGATCGTGGAAAATTGGAACTTGTTGATTTTCTGATTGGTGCGGGCGCCGATGTGAATATTCAGGATTACGGTGGACAAACACCTCTTCATTACGGTTGTCGTTGCACATTAAAATTGATGATTCTTCAATAGCTCGATGGATTTTGATTTTTAAGATAACCAAAAGACCATTGCATTGCAGCTGTTTCGTGCTCACATCGAAATGTGGTGGAATTGCTGCTAAAGAAAGGTGCTGATCCGCTGATTGCCGATTTTGAAGGAATCTGTGTGCTGGATGTTGCATCGGACCCGATAATCACGAGGATGCTCGAGGAAGCGATTCCAGAAAGCTCAGGAACAAAGCCTACTGAAGGAATAAAGCCTACTGAAGGAACATAATTTTAGTTTTCTAATCGCTCATTTTTCAACAGCAATTCATCCATTTCAAGATGCGGGCTGACTTATGAGACTTTTGCCTATAGGGTAAGCGAATTGACGAGCTTCGCTTGAGGCTCGATTCACTTGATATTCGATTCTGCTAGTAGGAATCTATAAATCACCGACAAACTGACCAACCTTACCCTTAGCTTGCTGTAATTTTCAAAATGTGTACTACCATCAGCAGCCGTGTCATTTGCTGCATGGTGTCTGAAAAAAATCATATTTTTCGAGCTGTTTTCGATCGCTTGTGGGAAGAGCAGTATATAGGGATTTTTCGCAGATGTTGTACTTGACAGGTAGAATTTTTCCTTATTAAGTAAAGGGCTGGACTTTTCAAAATTCGATCTCTTTAATGCAGTATCATTTTGCTGAAAACAGAAAAATGTATAGT